ACATGATATTGTGGAAATGTGGAAATGAAAGAATGACATTGGAATATCTATTCACTGAAGATTCCGAAAATGATCTATGGACAAGAATTTGTGGTATTAAAAAGTAAATACCCTGGAAGAACAATGAATTGATCAATCGACAAGCCTTAGTTTTGGGAGCTATTCATCTAAGATTTGTTTGATAATCCGATCAATCGACATAGCCTGTAAATGTCATGAACCTTCATTTCTTCCTTATCAGCTCAAGTCATATTCTGAATAATTGATGATTTCGTCAGTTATTGAACTCTTCCAATAGTGATTCTGAATTCTGATTTTATATCGGTATACTGAAGATCTATGTTCCTCTACCTGTTAATATATCCAGTGGCTCTGAATAATACATGTAAACTCTGGTGTGTTCCCTAATTACATGAATATTTTATCTGATTTCCGATTTGAATTCTGTTATGGTACCTGACCTGGGTTCTGATCTGATATTGACATGGATTCTGATCTGATACATGATCTGGATTCTGATCTGATACTTGACTTTAATTATGTTTTGATTTTTGATATATCCGTTTACGAACGGAACATGTTTTATTGGGGGTAATGTTGGAGAAAGAATACTTGGAGGCTCCTCGGCTTTGTGCTCAGAGCCTTACTTGCAGGCTCCTCGGCTTTGTGCTCAAAGCCTTACTTTCAGGCTCCTCGGCTTTGTGCTCAGGGCCTTACTGGGGTTGTATGATTCTGGGGAACCTACACATTTTGTTCGTGATGGATGGGGGTATATATATATATATGTATGTGTGTGTGTGTGTGTGTTTTAAAAAGATCTAAAAAGTTACATGATTTTTGGGAACACACTAGAAAACCTATTTTGATCTCCTGAACCTAGACATCCGAAATATTTATATCTCAAATGAATATTATATGTTACTACCTGCGTTATCAATGGACCTCAGATCAGCCTAAAAATCTATAGATATCTGAACCAATAAGGAAATATATGTTTATCTGTATCTGCACATTCTTCAGCATCATCTGGTAGGTCTGTATTACTGAGCTTTCCGAAGCTCACTCTATTACTCAACATTTCGGGTTAAAAGAATTGTACCAGTGCAACTATCGTCATCAGTAAGGGAGTTCTTTCGGTGATGTTTGCATAGTACGATACATGTGATTAGGGGGCATGTAATTGTATTTTGTTTTAATATTTAAGTATGAAAATCTATTTTATTTATGTATACTGATAAATCATTTTATGAGTTACATGTTTTGACAAAAGTTTTAAATTTTCCGCTATTTTTACAGTGGGTCGCTCCGGTGGCCCTATTTTGACTTCCCGGATCAGATCGGGTTACCCGCATCGGTCTGGGGGGTTACAATAACGATTAACACACACACACACATATATATATAATTATTTAAATATTTTTTAATTTAATATTAAAATTTAACTTGTTAAAAAAATAACATATATGACAAGGATAACTTGGTAAAATGTGCATTCAAATACTTTTAATATTCATCCAACCAAGCATCGTCATCTTACAATCATGTTAAACAACCCAAATAAGGTAATACAACATTCTCATAATAATGTTACATTGTGGTAATCTTATTTCTAAAGCTAATCTTATATTTCGTGAACCAAACGCGTGATCTTCATACATGGTGAATGTTTCAAACAACGTTTTACTACAATAATAAAAGTTTTTATTGACAAATTAATAGTAATTAAGAATACTTTTGTTGTAAATATTAAGTTTTCTAGGAAAAATATTTTTGCGCAACACTATTAATATAAGTAATTGTGATGTTATTTAATTACTATTAGAACACTATTATTATAAGTTATTGTGACATACTATTATTATAAGTTATTTGATCATCATTATACTAATAAGTATGATTAGATTTTTCACAATTAAATTCTCACTATAAGTTTATAATTATGACAAAAATTTTATTGTTATTAAAACTTTTGACACTATTAGAATACAAAAGATGATGCTAATTATTTTTTTATGTGAAATGATATGACCGTGATGACATATTAAGTGAATGTTTTGTGATAATGATTCCTCACATTACTGTCTTTAATACAACAATGTTGTCCATAGATCAAATTAGTATGTGGATTATATTTTACTTAATTTTCTACTGCTCCATTACGTGTGCTCGGACAGAAAATTTATATAAATATATCGTCATGCCATTTGGTATGTTTATTTAATTAATACTACTAGGTAAACTAACAGAATGATCACTTACCTTTTATATGTGTACATTTTTATTAATGAAATTTGAAAATTTTTATGTATTGATTATTTTGCATTATCATTTTATAAATTTTAGTATGTTGAATGCCATTAGTTTAATTACACGATACATTAATCAGAATATTTAACTTCTATTTTAGTCCCTCAATTTTTAGTAAAAAAATTAAAATTTTATTCTAATTATTAAATTTTAGATAAATTCTTAATTCTGCACCTTTTTGTAAACCAAAAACAATTTAAGGACATTTTTAATCCACCCCTTTGTGAACATGCTTTTCTTGCATTTTCTTCGAAACTCTTAACTTTCTCCACCTAACAGAAGTGACCTACAAGTGCTGCAGTGAACACCATAAACAAGGCCATTTTTCCATTTCTACAACTATAATACCCTAAACGTATAAAAATTACTAAATGAATATATACTTGTTTAAAATTAGATATTGTAGGTGATTCTCCTTGATTTGAAAGTGAGAATTTTACACTTTGGAAAGACTTTTTTGTTTCCTAATTTTCAAGTGGATTTTTATCTAAATTTTTTATGTTCGATATATGACGTTTCAAAAATTTCTCTGTACAAGACTACACTAGGCATGCGAAGCAAATGATGGAAGCTACATAGAATGTTTACTTTAAACTCAATTACCTCGAAGAACAATTTTTTTGTAGAGGTTATTTACAATTTTTACCCTAAACTTTTCAAGACTAAAATTTGTTAGAGCTATCACGAAAGAAATGCCCTACAAAAATAAGTGTATGACGCTTTAGGCGGCGAGCAAGGCCGGCCCTGAGCCCAGGCGGGGTAGGCGACCGTCTAGGGCTCAGGTTTAGAGGGACCCATTCTTCCCAAATATTTTTAACCTCCGAAAGCACAAAATCACGTCAAAATAAATATCCAGAAAAAGCATGACTCTCAATCTATCTTGGAGGGGGCCATTCTTCTCAACTTTCTATCTTGTTTCATGTAAGTACCAATATTTTTTTTTAAAAAAGGGGTCATACCCTACACCACCACTTGCCCATTTCTTTAATATCCCCAACTGCTGCTCATACTCCACTAATTACCCACATCATGCTATACTCATGCCCTGCAAAATAAAAGAGATTCCATCGATAAACAATTAAGGTGGGGGCAACATATTATGGGCAACAAAGGAGAACAATATTAAATGGGGGCTCTCGACCAAAAAATAGAAAACACAAAAAGAAAAGGAGGTTCATCAACAAGGTCAGAAAGTAAAAAATGAGATTAAAACCGGAGATACAAAAGTAAGCAAAATCAGGGGTAGGGAGGAGGAGAGAACAAAAAAAACATATTGTAAGTGTGGAGAAAAACAGGGGTTCCCCATCTCATTTATTTTACACAGTCAATGTAATCAAGGGAGCTTTTCCTCACAATTTTTTCTAAGGAGCAATGCGAAAGAAGCAATTTTCGGTATTACGCATATTCTTTACTTTTAAATGTTTTTGTGTGTGTATGAAATTGAAATGCAAGTAACGACACAAAATAAGAGATAGAAGCTCACCGAAACTATTCGAGCCACCGGAGTCTAGGGATGGAGTGTTGGGTTTCCTTTGGGAACTTTGCATAATAGTATTAGGGTTAGTTCTTATTTTAGGGTTTTGAAATAAAAATAAAAAAAGAGGAGGTGATGGGTAGCATCCATCGAAGAAGAAGAGAGTAGAGAAGTGAAGAACGACGTTGGTGGGGGTGTTAACAAATGAAGATTAGGGCAAATTTTCATCTAAAGTATATATATATATATATATATATATTATTTCATTAAAATGGTCGCGTTTTAGTGGGTTAGTCAACCCGTGTTTTGTGAGTGGGATAATAGCGTGTGAAATCCATCAGTTTTAGAAATGATACGTTTTAGTCCTCAAATCAAGTCTTTTAAGTTTCTAATTCGGTCTTTATACTTTATTCTCTTTTAATTTTAGTCCTGAATGTATTGTATTTATTTCTGTTGTTTAGACATTTCACTTTTAATTTTTTCATGTTTCGTTTTAGTCTCGAGGTCGAAGTTTGCATGTTTATAATTATGTCTATTTATTTTAAGTGCATTTAATTTTAGTCCTAGTGTAATTTCTTTAATTTTCGTTGTTTAGAAATTAGGATTCTATATTTTTTACATGTTAGTCATGTAGGTTGTTTTGTAATTTTCCATTTTTTTATGACTGATTTTAATTTTTGTTGGTTAATTTCGTTTAAGTCCTTAGGTTGTGCGTGTTTTGTATTTTAGTCAATAGTCTATTCGCTTCTATTTTATTTCGAATTAAGCTTTAATTTTTTATTTATTTTAATTTAACCCTTTTCATGTTTAATTTTAGCTTAGTAATTTAAAATTTATGCAATTAGGTCCCCAAACTTCGATTCGATTTTTGATATTGACATAATTAAATAGGTTAAATAGAGCTTCCATTTTAGCTTAGATTTCAAACTAGTCTTTAAATTTAGGGGATAATTCGAGTTGGCCCTCGCGTAAACGCTCGAGGGACCACGTCGGTTATTCGATTCAATGATTAATTAAAATAAAAAATGATTAATATTAGAGCCTACATTTTTAGGTTTGAGTCCTTAGGTTCTTTAATTTTCATAATTTGACACAGTAAACTAAAAAAAACCTTAATTTATTTTAGAATAATTAGGATTAAATAAAATTTTATTTGATTGCATTGTTTTTTAAAACTTAAGGCACTGTTCACTTATTATTGGCCGAAATTTATTCTTGAATTTTAAGTTATTTTTAAGGGCCCTTAAAATATCAGGATCGGCCCTGGTGGCGAGCACACGGTATTCTTTAATAAAAGGCGAAAGAATAGTTTGTTTTATACTCACCGCACGGCTCCGTTGGACTTAAACGTTGATTTGCGCTTTATTTTATAGAGTCACTTGGGGTGCATTTGTTTATCTCTCTGGGATCCTTGGCCTTTCCTGCTTTTGTCACTCTTCAAGCCTTCGTTCAACCCTCAAATCTTCTGCTCAATTTCCTCTCTATTATACCCTTTAAACCCTACACCATGGCTTTTTCCTCCCCTGATCGAAGCGTTTCTTCCTGAAAATTATAAGCCATTTGTGTACATGTCGAAAAGAGTTTTTGCGAAACCTTTTTTGTGGCTTCTTCAGGCTTTTTATAGTGTGTAGCAATTCAATTGGGGAGAACCCACAATCATTTCAGACAAAAAACCAAGAACCCAATTTTAGTCGAAGTTGAAAATTTGACTTTCATGATTTGAAATCCAATTCGCGTTTGTAAGAAAAGGAAAACTTTTTAAGTTAATAACCAGTTCAAAGACGTGTAGAGATTTTTTAACAGTCATCGGATCAAAATCTGCAACCAAGAAGCTTCAAGTTCGCACTACGATTTGGGAGTTTCAGTGGATCATCAATGGAGTTTACAGAGTTGCTTATTTAGAGGTTCTTTTACAAGATATGAACATTCGTCCTTGTCAAATCTGTTATTCAAGAGTTGGTATATATTCAAAATATTAACAACGTGCACTTTCTACAGAAGTAATTATTCAAACTCAAAATCTTTAAAAATAACTATACTTAATTTTATCAATAATATCAATGACCATGGTTCTACAAAGCACCCTCGTTTTCCTACTTTAGTATTATAATCTTATTTTATATATCATAGATATGATAATCGCGGTAAATGAACCCAAGCTACTATCTTTAAAGGTTGAGACCCTTTTATCAAGAATTTATTAGATCAAGATTACACTATAAGATAATCTCTACATTTCATTCAATGACCAACATACAAAACCATATTATAGTTTTGTTGATTAACACACAAATTTTGAAAGTTATTATTATATCCTGATCGATTAACTAAAAATTACTAACGAGTTCCTATTGGCTTCTGATTATGCTAATAAGAGGTCTATACCCTATCAATTGACCAAGAAGCTTAACAATTAAAGTAACTTGCCTACATTCTTTTAAAACAGAAGACTTGAATGTTATTTTATTAAAAGATGAAAAATTGAATGTAAATGAAAATGTGGTAAGTATTTGATTGCTTTGAATATAAAAGATTTTTATATTTTTTAAATAAAAGAAAATAAAATAAATTGGAAAAGGATGTAAAGTCTCTTTAAATGCTACATAATATTATATATGAGGGGGGTTTTTTCACTAATAAGAACATCTAGTTATATTGAATAATAAAGATAAAATATAATAAAATAACAAACTAAAAAAAGTATAAAAATTAAAGTATACTAATCATATTAATAAACCATTTCTTCTAAAATCATCTAAGAGTACAAACTAATCACTAAATAATAAAAATATGATTATACAAAGAAATGATTAAAAGTTTAAACCAATCAACTGAAAAAAGAAGAAGAAGATATAAACAAACACAACCATAGCGGTGAAAGATTAAAAAAATCAATACTTGTAACACCCCCAACCCGTATCCGACCCGAATCCGAGTCTGATGTGTCACATTGACTTTTCAAAACTTATACATGTATACAAATATGAAAAATTTCCACTTATATTAAATAAAATTTAATAATTCATATTATTATAAATAAATTGTCTTCAAAACTGATCATAACATATATAATTCAAAACATTAATTACATGCCAGCTACTTTCAATAAACAAAATACATATAATTCAAAACTCTTGTCTGATCTGATCATAATAAAGGAGTGGCTGACATGTCTTGCTCATCTTATCTTCTCTTCTTGCTTTTCGGAACCTACGTGTGAAACGCTCACACGCTAAGTCGATGACTTAGTGAGACATAATAAAACATATAATATGAACTTTAACTCCTAACAATGCATGCATAATCTATACTATCATGTCATACAAAAATCATATATTCTTTCATGCAATAATTATTCACCTACACATATATCATCATCCACATTTTTAACATTATCATTAATTCCTTTTATCATATGATCTTATACTTATCATTTATACACATCATATACCACATATATCACTTCACAAAGAAATAAGCATACTATCATATCAAGTTTATTTATATTATCTTTTTATGAACCCATGTGCACATGTGAGAACTAAAGATATGTGAGTACATTGAGGTTGTGCACCTATGTTGTCACCACAGCTCGTATAACTCTCACTAGGGGCACTTAGACTTTGTCCTAAAGGACCTATGTCCCGAAGGACTACATATCACATATGTCCCGAATGACCACTCCTTAAGAACCATATACATATTCCAATGGACCAAATAAGTGTACTGAAGTACCGCATATATGTGCCAAATGATTACATATATGTCCTGAAAGACCACGTAGAACCCTCGACTCTTGGCATGCCAACTATACCTCTAGCTCTCATGATACATAAAATGGGAATTATCTTTTATATCACTTCACATATTCACATATTCATATCACATATGCTCATAGATTCTTATCACATAGTTTCTTATCATAACATTCACGTAATATAACTTATCTCTTGTTATCATGTAATCACATAACTTATTTTCATATAGCTCATTGTCACATGGCTTTTCTCATAGACATATATTCATTTACCTTAAAATCACATAGCTTATACCAATTATATATATATAGTCACATAGTTCATTATCACATGGTTTATATCATATTCACATAACATGTATTCACAACAATCATATAACATATATAATAGCATATATCACAAATACTCATATCAAACGCATGCTTATAATCATAAATTCATGCATTCTAATATAAGAAATATACTTATCGCAAGTCTTATTTCTATTCATCTCACTAGTCAATACCGATCCTTATCTTTTTCTCAATGTCTAATACTTGTCGACTTGTCCAAACGTTGCTCTCGATCGATATCTACACAATCATACATATAATATACATATCAACATTCTAAATATCATAATTCGATCCTTAATAACTCAAGCTAAACGAAATGCTTAATATAATTTCCACTTTGAGTAGTATCGATACCCCCATGCATGGTACCGATACTTCCCTAGCTATGGTATTGATACCAAGCTTGGGTATCGATACCCTTTTTGCATTCGAAATCCTTGTTTCAAAAATGGGTACTGATACTAACATTATGGTATCGGTACTCTTGGTATCGATACGACCCTCTAGGTATCGATACCCCATGAATGCCTTTGTCAAATTCAAGCTTATAGTATCGATATTGTCAACCAGTATTGATACCCTTACACCAATTATCACTTTTTTACTCTTGAAGTATCAGTACTTGATGACGCAGTACTGATACTCATAGCCCAGAATTCACTTCTTTAACCCAAAAATCTTACCGAACTCACTTAATTTTTCTACCATAACCTCCTTTTAACCCTTTAAGTTCAACTACACTTATTCAAATCATCTTATATCCATATAACCCATCATTCTCTTTAATATCTCTTTCAAATTCTTGAAACCAAGAATCTTACAAAATTTCTAACATGTTCTATTTTCATTTGTAACACTTCATACTTCTTAATCTAATTGATCACAAGTGAAATTCAGTTTCAAATTCTGCTTACTAACACACTCTTCCAAGATTTCCCTTATAAACCTCTCATCTTTAATCTTTTCTAACTTAATCATCTTAGAGTTTTAAGCTACCTTAAGCTTCACTTAACTTTCTTATCATCTCGAGAATTAAATCCAACTTAAAAATGAAAGGAAACATTCACTTGAGATCATCTTACCTTACCAATGGAGCGACGGGAAGAGAAGAAGAAAACCAACCAAGACTCCAGAGCTTACTTTCATTTCTCCCCATCTTCACGTGTTGTTATCCTATATAAAGGGAAAATAAAATCCTTCATTTGAAAAGACCAATTTACCCCTTACTTCATTTAATATTTACTAAACAATTCCTCACAAAATATTCCCAATTAAATCCCTAAACTTTTAACTTGTTTCAAAATTAAGCACAAAGTTTTCAAAATTTACATTTTAGTCAATAACCATGTTTTTAGGATGTTACAAATCTCCTCTCCTTTTAAAAAAATTCGTTCAGTGCACACATTGATAATAACATATCTTCTAATGTTCTCATATTGCTTCCTCTACTTTATCCCTTCACAATTGTAATCAATGATTTACCTTCAATTTCCAAAGAACTCAATCCATTTCTATCTTTTCTCTCCTTCGATTGTACACTTACTTTTGACTTGAAAATTCATATCATGCCACTTATCATATACACAATAACATTCATTCTTATTACTCAAGATCATAAATCGATTGATTTCCTTCATCAATCTCTAATTGACTTACAATAATAACTCAACCTTTAATCCTTTATCATTTCAAAATAGCATGCTTGTTCTTGATAACTTGATCAAAGAGAATAAAATCATTCAACTGTATTTTGAACTTCCTTAATACATATAAATCATTTCTTATTCCTCTGACTATGTCTACTTGAGCAAGAAACACAACCTTAAACTTTCATCATATATGATTAAAACATACACTTTACAAAATCAAACAATCTCTTTATATAACCTTACATACTTTTCTTATTTCTGTATCAAACTTATAATCTACTCCTCCATATAATCTTTATCACACTTGATCTTTTAAACTCCATCTTTTCATTTTCCTTTCTTTTATACTCCCACACTCTCTTCATAACTTTGATAGCCACACTACTTTGTACAAAACATTATTCTTGAAAATTCCTTATTCGAATTACAATACACATATCCTTTCTATCATCTTAAAGTTTTCTACTCTTTAGATATATGAATCTTTATCTTCTTTACTACATCACATTTACATGATCAAAATACACAACCATATCTAAATTCATGTCATACTTGGTTAGCTTAATTTAATAACATCTTCTAATCCTTTGACT